GCTCCAGCACCGGCACCGTCCCGCGTGGGGGAGGCGGGAGGCTCTGCTCCCCACTTCGGCGGAAAGAAGGCGAAATTCCATTCGTTTACATGTTTTATTGTTGTAAACATTAAAATTGTCTTTCTCAAAGAAAGAGTTATCGAGAGGGAAAAAATAAAACAAATAAATCAGCGTTTCGAAAGGTCGTACACCACGGGTTGGGGAGGAGAAAGGCAGTGACTCGTACCGTGTGCCACACCGGAAACGTACAAAGAAAACCACCACAGAATATGGCAATATTAAAAATATTACTCGAACATAAAATAATATATTAACCGACAATTTTAGACATAAAAAACCGGAACAAAACAAACCAAAAATTCAAAGTGCTCAGTAATTTCCAGGGAGTTATGTAATATTATAAGCACTCTGGAAACAGTCAAAAGCTGCTGCATGCAAGATTTGTTTAGCTTTAGACAACAAAATAATCAAGATATAAACTTCTTTTTTTAATCAACATCAACAGTACATACAACACTTACAAACAAGGGGTGTCGAACGGTGTTTACAAACACGATGTATCCCACTGGGGAGGAGTTCAGGGTTTGTAATACTTGTGCCCACCTATTTTACAATTGAGAAAATGTTTGAAGCTTAGATAACTACCAGTCTTTATAAAAGCTAACAGACTACATAGTGTCTGAAATACTATTTATAGAATATAGACATTACTGAAATAGCAAGTGCCTATAACATTGTCACCCTAGAGTCGTCATGCTTTCCTGGTACAGAGAGATTTAGTTTTCTTTCTCTTTAGTCTCTCTCTCTTCCCTCCCCCCCCGTTTTTGTTGTTGTTTTTTTTTTTTTTTGCAAACACGTTTAGCTTTTATTTTTAAATTTTTTTTAAGAATTGTTTTCCATATTTCTTCATAAATAGGCACAGAATAATTTTTAAAAAGCCAAACTGCATCTGATAAATTTACAAGCCTTTGCCTTCTTTAATGACATGCCACCCACGTAACATTTAGGTTGTGTATATATTACAGCTTTCTTTTACAGCAGAAAACTCTAGTCTTTAGGAGGGTGAGACTTGTGGGTCACCTTAACACTTTGTTTGTCACCGTGTGAGTCTTAGTTGCGTTGCCAGATATGTTCATCTTTTTAATCAGAAGTCCTTAATAATAAATTCATTTATAAGCTGATAATAAAAAGTTTATACCATGGTGTTGTGTAGTCCATGATCTGCATCCATGATGGCCCAGAGCCAAAAAGCCCGCTCAGGTTCTGCCTGCAGGAGTTAGCAACACTGGTTTGGGGGGGAGTGAGCACCCAGGGGTGCCACTGGGGGCCCAAGCCAAGTCCCCTTCAGCCAGGTGACGTTTCTCTTCAGTTCAGTGCAAGTGCACAGGAAGAGTCTTAAAAAGGTAAAGTGTCCAGAAAAAGTTTGTCGATTATTGCTGGCGGTGGCACCAAATCTTCCAGTTTCAGGTAGAAAATGCGCTGCAGCCCCTGCGTGCAAAGCGTGCGGAGTTCGGGGAGCTTCCCCAAGAGTTTAGACAAGTAGTTGGGGCGATTCAGCCCCCCATTATTAAAAGTCACATGGTCTTTGAGACAATTCACAATCTTGTTTTGAAGCTCTTCGACCCTCTTGGGTTCTTTAAGCCCATGCCGTTCTGCAGAAGAGAAGGATGCAGGATGTTACGGGTGGGACAGGGAGAGGAAGGTGGCAGGAGGGGATGGGAGCTGCCAGGGGGCTGAGAGACACTGACCTGTGACCATGGCCAGGGCAGCGATGCAAGAGAAGGCAGAGATATCGATGTTCATGTTTTGCAAGTTGGAGGAAAATTCAACAATGGAATCAATCCACTCCCCAAAGCCGCGGACGCACTGCAACCGGTGCAGGACTACCCCGTTGCAGAAGATAAGCTTGCCCTCCACCGGGTTTGACCTGGAAGGAACGTGACAACCCCAACAGGAGCAGATGCATGAATGAGTAAAAACGAAATAATCAGATACAGAAAGAAAAGAAAGAGAAGGAGAAGAAGAGAGAACAAAAGATAAAAAAGAGAAAGAGGGGAAGAGAGAAAGAGGCAAGGGGGGGAAGATTTAGAGCTAGAGATAGGTGGAAGCATAGAGAGAGACATATAAAGATACAAAAATAGAAGAATAGAGAGGAGTGAAAAGAAAAAAAAAGAACAGGGAAGAAAGATTTTAAAACAAAAAGAAAAGAGAAGATGGGGTGAGGAAAGCTAAACAACTAATTACTTGAGGAGCAATAAATGAAGGATTTAGGAAGCACCTAATTACTGAGGAGTTAATAAAATGCA